TTTTATTAAGGTGGCGGAGTTTCAAGGAAACACAAGTTTCTTAGTCAAGGTGTGGTTCCAAGAAAAAAACACCTACTATTAGTTAGTCATATTTATGTATATTTCTTAGTAGTATTTGTTGTGATCGTGCAGCAATTATGGTGAATAGTAAGGAATCAAACAATTAAGAAAGCAGGAGAAAATAACACACAGAGATTTACGTGATTCGGCAATGTGCCTACATCCACGAGAGCGAGCGGCCGTTCTTTTCCATTATTGAAGTAGGGTTACATGTTAAGTATTTATATAACCCTAATATGAACGTATTTACAAAAATATCCCTGTACCGTACCGCGGGGGCATTGCCTCCGCACCCCCAACTAATCAGCGTCCTCTTTATATAAATCCCGCAAGGCAGATGCCGTCGCAGGCTCCGCCCGCTCCGGCATCTGCCTCCTTGTCATTATGCACACAGCAAATATGAGTCACACATACTCTAACAGTATTTATACTCATAATTGAAATGAGGGGGAGAGCTTTTTGGCTGCTGAAAAATTTTGGTTGCGAGAATGCTTTGAGCCTTCATTTGAGAGTTAAGTGATTCCTCTCTTGAAGGTGAGTGAGTCCGTCTCCTTGGTGAGTGATTTCCCAACTATTCTGCTTTGGGTAAGTGATATTGTTAGAGTATGTGTGACTCATATTTACTGTGTGCACAATGGTAAGGAAGTAGATGCCAGAGCGGACGGAGTGTAGCGGAGTGAAGCGAAGCGGAATAATGGAACTCCACTTTGAATAATGGAAAAGAACGGCCGCTCGCTCCTGTGGATGTAGACATATTGCCGAACCACGTAAATCTTTGTCTTATTTTTTCTTACTTTCTTAATTGATTGATTCCTTATTATTCACCACGATCACAACAGATTCCCATCTATCCTTCCTTATTTTAATATTTTATATGTATTCTTCAACCTCTTGATACAGATCAATGTTTTGTACTTCCATCTTTCTATTGTGGTTTGTGTCGACCAGCTGAGCAAAAAATAGGGCACTAAACATGACACAGGCGGAACGTGAGAAAAAATGCAGCAAAACATAAGAAGATGCACAAAGTACGGATGATAGACCATCTGCATGGATACCAGGGACATCCAGAATCATTACTGATGCATTCATTTATCCAAAAGTAATTTGGATACCAGGGACATCTAGAATCATCTCATTGTGCTATGCATTTGAATTGTATGTTCATTTCATTTCCATGCAATTCGACATCTTTTTCTTCTCCCATAAAACCAGGGAGCTTAAGCTCCTACATAAACTCAATAAGCAATGTGAACATGTAAATCTGCAAATTCATCCCAAAGTATACTATACACTTCAAATACTTGTACTCCTAGTAAATATTTGAGAAGATGAGAATTTCATACAAGAAGAAAAAAATTTGAAGAAATTTTCGCACCATGTGTAGATCCTCTGACCACAAAATTTATTTCGTGTTCTGTATATCTTTAACCCTCTTTGAATAACACCTCCTATCTGGAACAATGCCATTTCAGTAAAAGTGCACCAACACTGGGCCAATTTTTTTTATAATTCTGACATTCTCTACAATGTTTTCTGCAAGTTCTTGTTGAAAGCATATTCTATGAGTATGAAATGAAATTCAAGAAATACTGTGATATTCAATTAGAAGCATAATGTTGGTGGCCTTTTTCTTCTTCATTCCTTTTTAGGGATATACACAATATGTAACTTCCGCTTTCAATTATATTTCTCCTTTTCCAGCTTCAAATAAGTCAGGCTAATCTTTTCACGTAATCCAACACTCGACAGAGCTTTATTTGGTTACTTATTATTGTTGCACATTTTGCAGACCTATTATAAATTTGTTAATTGGGTAAGGTGAACAACTGAAACCTTTATTCTGGAAATTACACGCATCGAGATGCAAGGAATCAAAAGAAACAAAAGTGCCATAGTTGAGAGAGGAATTGATGCAGGCTTCTAAAGGTTAAATTAGCACTTAATTTTCTTGTGCCATGTTGATAAGCTTGTATGATGTGATTTGACATTAGATTTAAACTCGTGCTTCTATCAATCTTCCCTTGGAAGAATTATAGAAGATAAGAATTGGGAACAATTGACTAAATTTTGTGAGTGAATGTACTGTAAGATTTGTTTAAGATGATTATGCTGTTACATTTACTTTTCATCCCAGCAATTGTTGCATTAGCTTGCTTTTGGAACTCTATTTTCTGCTTATTGGTGTTAAACCGCTAATCTTTCTGGCTTCAAATTCGTATCACATATTTCCATGCATGGTCTGTAAAACACTTCAATGTAAAACCCTCTCAGATAATCCTTGTAGATCTCAGATGGCACAATTAATTTGTGTCAGAAAAATTTGCCGCTCTTCTAGCTTGTAGAAGTCAATAAATTAGGGGATATTGATGTGTCTATTCTTTGCTTGAGTTAGGTAAATCATATTAACATCATGCCTCACAGGAAAATTCATAGGGGTTACATGCATACTGGTAATTTTGTGTGCGCATTTTTTAGCACATTTCAATCTTTGGTTTACAACCTGTATGATGGCCGCCTTCCTGTCATCCAGAATGCTTACAAGTGATGAAAAAAAGTCATCTGCACGAACCCCTAAGAAGTCGTTTTCTTCAGCTAGATGAATGGTGTGCCAATTATACCAATAAAAGGTGAAATTATGCATAATGTAGTCATGGATGAAAAGATGCATCACATCGATTGATGTCTTGGAAGCTATTCAGCGTTCCTAAATGTATTCAAGGTTATACTTATCCCAAAATAAAAATAAAAAATAAAGAAAAAGAAAAGAAGAAAAGCATGCCTTCAAAGCTATACTTTCTTTGTTTGCTTACCTTTCTGCTATAAATTGTGCACACCACTAAAAGGACTGTTAGAAAAAGCAATATGAATAAACCCATCTTATTCGAGAAAGTTTCACATATTTGTAGATTGTTGAAGCAAGGGAGACACTTTTGCAGAAGTTGCTAAACAAGAAGAACGCAGTGATGAAAGCCTCTGAGAACTCTGAGGCTGTTAATACGTTTCCAGATGGTGGTATAATTAATAGCACACAAGAAGATGAGTGCCCATCTCAGCAAAAGGATGTTTTAGCTGAGGTTGTCAATGCGTTACAGGAGACAGAGATTGATGACCATGGGAAAACTGAGCAGTGGTCAGAAGAGGAAGATGTTGAACTTGCCCATCGCTAGATGCTTTGAAACTGCCTGCAAAAGAGGATGATGTCTCATTTAGTGATTTGGAAGACGATGATAACGAATTTTCAGGAAAACTCTCAAGTTTTAGGCCTGCACAGAGTAATAAGGTTTCTTCACCTAGTGAATGGGTTCAACTCAGGGAAGCTCAAGGTGGTTTGCAGAAGGCTGGTCAATCAAGTTCCCAAGAGAGATTCTGAAGGAGAGGAGTCAAATGATTGGCTAACTGTCGATAATGTAGATTCGGACAGTTAGGCTACTGTTTGAATCGCGGTACCTGTAAAGCTACTGCTATTTGTTTTTTTCCCCATAATCTTTTTTAATATTATGGTTCTGTGCAGTGTGCTTTCTTTAGTAGTCAATCGAGATGAATTCACATTATAAATCACCTAATGTCACTCTAGATTTGGTGGTGGTTCGGCTGTGCTCTCTTGCTTTTGTGTGTATTTTAGAGCTGTCAAAACGAACTTTGATTGTTCCAAGTGGTAAGTGCTGTTTTTCCCACTGCCCCTCCCCCCTCCATGGGGGCAACACACTGATAGTTAGTTGCCATGTTGGCCAGAGATTGAGAAAATGGGCAATTCCCATAACCTTGTGCCCATTGATAATGTTGGGCTCATCAGACTAGAAGCAATCTAAGTAACAAAGATGATAGGTGGATACCATTTCTACTCCAATATGCAATTAAATTCATTGATTTTTGACATGATCTGTCAACATTAAATACTGCATGAGTTATGTTATTATCCAATACAAATACTTCAATTTTGACACGATACACGCTGAGATATACTTGCATATTCAATTCAATTTCCATTTCAGAGAGAAAATCTGGGCTATTAAATTCTTGTCCCAGACCAACACTCCAAAAACTGTTAACTGTATGGAGACATCACAGACGACAAAACCTACTCTCCTACTCTGTCCCCAACCAATATAGAGCCAGCCATCCAGTATGGTTTTAATTGGAATTGGATTATAATCAACTTGGTTTTTTTTAATAAATATTGCTATTGTCCGGGAATTGAGAAGGATCAACAAATTTAGTTATCCACGGCTAAATTTTGCCGAAACATTTATAGCATATCTAACCAAACAATGGGCCAAAATATTACCAAATCTACAAATCCATGAAGTATCAAGACAGAAAAACTCCCAACTGAATTCCATTCTCCTTTCTCTTAAAGAGTGTAGAAAGCTAAAATCTCTAGTTGTAAATTTGAAAGTGAGAGAAAAAGAAAAGGTAACCTCAAAATTTGAACAGCAACAATATAGGCAAAACAGACACTGCATGTGGAATAAATATTTCATTAGTCTAGCTGCAAAATGAAATGATCTCAGAAATTGGAGTCCATCACTTATAGGTGTAATGGAAACTTGATCAAAAGGTAAAGGCGACATCCTTATCATCTTGTAACTCAAAAACAAGGGTTGAAAAAAACTATAGAGAAATCAGTACACAATCACATAAAAGGACAACTTTATTTTCCTTCAAGACACCAAGTTCAATAAAAAACAACAAGCCACGTACAATAATACAAGCAACATACAGTATAGGAATACATGCAAACATGCACAACAAGTAAACTGTCTTTGATACTTTTTGCTTGGTCATGAGCTTCCATAGTTGTAAGGGTCCCAATATTTTGATTTTTGCAACCAACACTGGAGATTTAGAAGCCTATATGATGTCAAGTGCAACTCGTCCCAACTCGAACCATTTCCATGAAACTGTTACCTCTTTATTGACCTTGCCGATATGAGGTGTTGCGAGGAATGCATTAGTCACAGACATAACTTTTCACATTGATTATTTGCATGGTAACAACTCATATACATTCATATTGAAAATGTGTGCCCAACCTTTGGACATTTATTAAGCTATATTGTAATTTATTTTTTTCAAAGTGAAATTATTTAGTTATCGAGAAAAAACATTGGGCATGGCTTCACAAGCTTAGTACTTAGTAGCCTATTGAAACATTTTCTTTATCCAACAGGCCTTTTGAACTAAATAATTCTTTCGAGGTTTTGATTTCAAAATTGTGATTCACTCATTTAGGAAACCAGAAAAACCCTCTTTTTTTGGAACCTAGGATAATTTTAGAATCTCAAAGGGAAAAAAATATATGATATGTCAAAACAAATAAATATTCCCAATACATACCTCAGACAGTGCAGTTTGTGTTGGCTAGTTTCTTCTACCTTTGTGTCTATGAGCATGCTTCTTTGTCCTCCTCCCATTTTTGTTTCCTCAACTTTCAATGAGCCTTACAATCCACTTAGGCCTTCCAATTGAGAACATAATATATCCCATAGAAAGCCCAAGTACCAATCCACATCCATACCCCATGAATGTCACTTTCCACACGAATCCACTAGGAGACTCTGAAGAATCATCTTGTTGCAATACCCATTGTGGTGGTGCTCCAGAGTGGCCGCATGATTTCGACAATGGCAATCCACATAGTCCAGAGTTGCCCTCATATGAGTTCTCTATGAATGAATCGAATTGTTTGCCTTGAGGTATGGGCCCTGTTAGTTGGTTGAGCGAAAGGTTTATGACTTGTAGAAACATCAAACTTGTTAACTCCTGAGGTATCTCTCCAACAAGCTTGTTTGAAGAGAGGTCTAACCATTCAAGCATTTTCATCTGCCCAAGTGATGTCGGAATCTGACCCGTAAGCTTGTTATGAGATAAGTTGAGGCCACAAACTGAATTTAGCATTCCTATCAACTTCGGAATCTCCCCTTCAAAGCTGTTCTTTGATAAATCAATGGCCGTGAAGGTATTAAGGACTTTCTCCATTTGAGTTCTCGATCCTTTGAGTGTAATAGTAATTGAATCAAAATAATATCTTCTATAATAATTATTCATGTATTCTAGGCGGAATGTGGTTTCATCGATGTTCCTCATAGCTTTGAAGTTTTTGAAATATTTTGTTGGCAGAGGCCCGGTGAAATCATTGTACGAAATGTCAAAAACTCTCAAATTATGGAAGGGAAATTGGGTCATGAAAGTAATTATAGGCCCGTAGAATCGGTTAGATTGTAAAATAAGAACGTGTAGATATGAAAGACTTTCTAACCAATATGGAAATGTATCCTTTATCTTGTTGTTTCCGAGATCAAGAACTTGTAGCGATCTGCACTTTACTAAAGAATCTGGTACTGGCCCTCTCAATGCATTGTTGTTCAAATTTGCAGTTTCCAAGCTACAGTTCTTTGCAAATGTGTTAGGAATGTTCCCATAAAAGTTGTTCTTCTGGAGATCAAGCACCAAGAGACTCTTGCTTAACTTTCTCAAGCAATGCTTTGTAACACCACTTAAGTTGTTACGAGACAAAATGAGAAATCCAAGAGAATTTGCACCGCAAGAGACTATGCCACTCAAGTTATTTGATGAAAGATCGAGATAAGTAAGGTTCACAAGTTGGAAGATTGAACTTGGAATGTTACCATACAGCTTGTTAGAACCCAAATCAAGGTAGCGCAATGAATTGAATTGGACTTCGTTAATGGGGCCAGTCAATTTGTTATAACTGAGGTCTAAAGATTCCAGTGCTGGTAGGTTAAACATCCAAGATGGGATTGCCCCACTGATAAAGTTATAATCTAGGCTGAGCTCCCTTAAATGTGAAAGCCCATTTACTTGTGAAGGTAGAGTTCCAGATAGTTGATTATATGACAAGCTTAGAACAACGAGTTGTTGTAGTGTTGCGTTGGCAAATAATGATGAGATCTGCCCACTGAAGTTATTCGTTCCGAGATCTAAACTTCTAAGATTTTTCATATTAGGAAAAATACATGCGATCGGGCCTTCGAAGTGGTTGTCCGGAAGATACAAAACAATGAGCTGCTCAAGGTTTGAAAGTGAAGCTGGAACCTTACCGATGAAATTGTTGCTATCAAGATACAACAAACTGATTTGTGTCAAGTTCCCTAGTGATGGTGGAATTTGTCCAGAGAACCCGCATCTGCCAATATCCAAAACATTTAAGGACTTTAGGTTTCCAATTGAGTCGGGTAATTCTCCAGAGAAATTTATGTTGTAAAGACTTAAGGACTGAAGGGGACTGCTCGAGTTAAATTCTGGAAAATGACCGGTGAGGGCCTTATTAGAACCTAAATGCAATTCCTTCAAATTTGGCAGTTGAAATAGCTGATCAGGAACTTCTCCCAGGAATTCACAAGAGGTAAGGCTGAGGAATGTTAAAGAAGTTAGATTTAACAAGGAACGTGGTATCACCGAAGAGATGTTTACTGCATCAAGATTAAGCTCTCTCAGTTGGGTCAAGTTTTGAACAAGCAATTCAAAACCAGCTTTCTCCAATCTCAATTGACTATTCGATGACAAATCAAGTGAAATCAGATTAGATAGTTCCGAAATTTCTAATGGGATTTGGCCTGAGAATCCAGAGGAAGAGAGGTTCAAATTTGTCAATTTGGAAAACCGATCAAATGAATTAGATGGAAATGGAGAGGAAACAAAGTCGTTGTAAGCAAGGTTGAGCCTTTGAATATAAGGAGGGAGAAAGAGGGTGTTGTTGGGATGGATGGTGCCATAGAGCCNAATGAATTAGATGGAAATGGAGAGGAAACAAAGTCGTTGTAAGCAAGGTTGAGCCTTTGAATATAAGGAGGGAGAAAGAGGGTGTTGTTGGGATGGATGGTGCCATAGAGCCAGCTGCAGCTGAGGTCGAGGCCGATTACATTACCGGTCCTCCAATCACACTCCACCCCATCCCACGAGCAACAATCAGTACCGTTCTTCCAAGATTTGAGTTTTGGATAAGAAGGAATTCCATTGTAAATTTCACATAAACTGTGAAGCATATGCATCGAAGGAAAATTGTTTCTTAAACTGAAGCAATGCAAAACTCTGGTCTTGAGGGCAAAGTTGTGCACGGGAAGGAGTTAGTTGGACGAAGGAGAGAATGAAGAAGAAGAGATGAAAGAGTTGATTGAGATTGAACCATATTGAACAACCCATCTAC